TCAGCATGAGTGGCAACGTGTTCTTCTGGTTGTTGATGAGTTCAGGAATAAACTCTTGGTTGGATATTCTTTTTGGTTGCTTCTTTTGATTGGCACTTTCATAAGAATTAATGTTATTTAATAGTGTTCTGATACCGCTTTTGTCATGACCTGGATTCGGTCATTACACGAAAAAATTACGTCAGCCATCTAAAATGTGCAGTATCGTGTTTTGGCTCCGTGAAGCAAACTCAAAATCTAAAATATATGTCACACCTAACACCTAAACTTCAATTTTTACATGCATACACTTACAAAATGAAAATACTAGCGTGATTAGACTTACCTTATTCAATGCTTTCTAATAGGAACAGAGCGGAATGATGAGAAATATGGGAGTTAGGGTGGTCTCTACTCAATCGTTATCTTCCCTGCTAGCTCTAATGGTCGGCGATTGTTTCGCGAATGTTTATTCGGGAAGTTGATGGTTTTGAGCGAAACCAAAAAAGAGTGCGAAGGGAAGAGGGTTTCGGGTAGATGGCGAGACCAACAGAGAGCGCAAAGAGAGAAATGAAACTTAGGCACGCATGATGAGTATATTAGGTCATCTGCATCAGATTTCTTTCTGATTTGCGTTTGACTTAGTTCAATGCTAACAAGTCAAGTTTTTGTGTCGCTTTGTTGGATGCAAACTCGACGCTAAATTTGTAACAACTCTAATAACAATATTGTTGTTTTAAGAGTACTTTTTCCTCAAATTGTTGGACGGAAATCAGACTCAAAATCCACCTCAAATAATAAAATTTATTATTCGCAGCTTAACAGCTGCAAATTCGATGCTAATATTTGCGTCGGAAAAACCCAAAGCAAATATCAAATGCTTTTAACAACATATTCTGTAGCTACGACTTCCTGGTTTCTCCTTTTCGGCTTCCACTTGGTCCAAGTAAGCCTTCAATGTCATCGCCTCCCTCTCCTTCCTCTACCTTCGGTCTCGACACAATAATGCATATTTTTCTCCTTCGTCTTCTCCTTCGCACAGCTTGACACTGCACAGTAGTCGCACGCTTCTTTTTGCAACTTCTTCCTTGGATAGGGAACGAAAGTTTTTCTTCTCAGTCTCTCCCGTTTTCTCTCAGTCGTTGTCTACGTTGGTTGGAATGAGGAATAATATGACTCTTAAGTCTTAACCGAATGAGGCTTATCCTTCGTGCCATTCAGTTGATTGTTATTACTATTATTATTAATTTTTCTGTTATTACAATCCCCCCTTCATATAAAATTGTAATCAAAATTTGAAAATAGTAATTACAATAGCATACATAACTCAATAGAAAGTTATGGATATTATTCTTGCATTTAAAAGAACTTCTCCCAAGTAGCATCCTTTTTGGACTTGTGCTTCCATAAAATCTTCATAAATGTAATCTCTCTCAACTTCTTTAAGACATAATCCAGAATCATTTTAGGCTCCTCAACATAAGTCAAATTAGGCTGGATATCAACTGAGTTTTCTATCACCATACTAGTTTCATCTGCAATATACTTTCTTAGTAAAGAAATGTGGAAAATATTATGCTCTCTTTCATATGTACTGGTAAAGCTAATCTGTAAGCCACCTTCCCAATCTTCTCCACAATCTCAAATGGACAAACAAATTTGTGGCTCAATTTTCCTGCTTTCCTAAAACGTTGCACACTCTTCAACGGACTTAACCTTGATAAAGAAAAAAAAACTCTCCAACTTCATACTCAACAGGTCTGTGCTTGGCATCTTAATATTTCTTCTATCTCTTCGCATTGTTTTAAGTCTGTTTCTGATCAATCTAATTTTCTTAGTATCATCATTGACCAAATCAACACCATTGATCTTTCTTTCACTTGTTTCATCCCAAAATTGAGGTGTTCTGCACTCTCTTCCATACAAAGCTTCATATGGAGTCATCACAATACTAGTCTGATAACTATTATTTTAAGCAAAATCTACTAAAAGAGTATGTGATTCCCAACTTCCACCAAAGTCAAGAACACATAACCTTGATAGATTCTCAAAGTCTGAATAGTCATATCTGACTACCATCTGTTTGAGGGTGAAAAATTGTACTAAAAGTTAATATAGTGCCCAAAACTTTTTGAACCTTCTTCCATAATCTAGAAGTAAACATGTCACCTCTGTCGTAGACAATAGACATTGGCACTCCATGCCATTTTACAATTTGATCCACATATAATTTGGTTAGCTTCTTAACTGGATTTGTTTGTCTAATAAGCAAGAAATGCGCAGGCTTAGTCAGTTTAACGACAATCACCCATATAGCATCATGACCCTGACGTGATCTCGGCAAACCAATAACAAAATCCATCGCAGGCTCATCCCATTTCCACTCTGGAATTAAATTTTCTGGTGACAGAGGATTGACATTTATGATAAACTATGATAAAAAATTTAATTTCTGCCTCCCAGGTAAATTTATTTTGATGTTTTTCTTATTGCAATCAAAATGCAAGACATGAATGAAGTATTTGTTTTAAACTATTTAATAAAACAATTTTTCATTTAAGATAACATTAATTTAATGCATTAAAAAAATAATCACTCAGCTTGTTTAGCTTGCTTGCCACACAAGCTCTGTAAGCCTTAACCTTTTAGGCTTAGTTGTGCTCTAACCAAAATTGCAGTTAAACATTAATATTTTATTAGATATCAATTCCTAATTAAGTAAATTAAACTTTAATTTAAAACATACCTTATCTTTTAAAATTTCTCTATCTTCTTTCTCAAATCCAAAAGATTAGCCGGCCTTCTTCCTCACTTCCTAACAATAATAAAGTTTAATAACATAAATTAATTTAGCTACTTACGTCATTAATTTCACTAATAGCATAAGGTTTAACATCTACCTTATAGGTTTTCAGGTCGATCTCCTCCCTTACCTGCTCGCTTCACAAACTTCCTTTCATTCAAAGTCAAAATTCTTGTATTAAAGTCCTGATTAAATTTTGACATTGTGTTATACACTCACATACACCCATAAATTCATTAAATAGTTTAATAAGAACCTTAACATACATTAAAATTCTTTGGTTGTCCGCAACTCTTCCTGTTCTAACACATGGAAATCTTATCAGCCTCCTTTCCTTAAAGTTGCAACTTACTAGTTCTGATCCTAATATAGTTAAGCTTTTTGTTCACGTTAATTATATAATTTCAAGCTCTCATTTATGCATATATCTATATTTAATTAATGTAACTAATTAAAATAACTTTATAAAACTTGCCTTGCCATCGGTTGTCAACCTTACCTGCCTCACGCATGCAAGCTTTCTCCTCTCTCCGGTCTTGACTCAACGCAAGCTTCCCTTCCTCTACTACGCGAGCACAGTGTTGATGGTTTCCCTACTTCCTTTACTTCAACTCAACTCAGAGCATGCCCCCTCCGGCTCCTTCTTCCTTCTCTTCCTCTGCACGCATGCGATCATGGTTTCCTGGTTTCTCCTTTTTGGCTTCAACTTGGTCCAGATAAGCCTACGATGTCGCCTTCTCCCTCTCTTTCCTCTGCCTTTGGTCTCGACACAAAACCAGATTCTCTTCCTTCCTCTTCTCCTTCGCATGGCTTGACACTGCACAGTGGCCACACACTTCTTCCCATAACTTCTTCTACCCTCCTCAGCTAGGGCACAAAAGTTTCTCTCGATCTTTCTCGTTTTCTCTCTTCGTTCTCTACATTTTCAAATGAGGAGTAATACGACTCTCAAGTTATAACCAAAGAGGTGCTTATCCTTTATGCCTATTCAATTAATTGCTATTACTATTACTTTTATTATTATTATTTTTTGCTGTTATGACAGTCTCCTTCACAGAAAATTGCAAAGCTTTTCATCTTATTGTCCCCTTGACATCACGAAATACAAGTGCAATGCTTGCATCGTCTCTGTTGAAGCCCATGTCGAACATCTATGTCATCTTTGTGTGTCCATGTTCAGGTCAAACCTGTCATCTCCTTTGCATTCGACCACCATTGTCTTCTGCTCATCCTTGCAGTTGGAGTGTTTGCTCGAAACCGTCATATCTCCTTCTCGTTTGGACACCACTAAATCCTACTCTTCCTAGTGGTCAAAGTGTTTGAATCAAACACTAGATCGCCATGTCATTGTTCTTGCTAAACCGGAAAATCATATTGGACCCATTTTGCTCAAAGCAAACCTGCTCAGACAATCCGTCTTGTTTCACATTGCTTCAGTGGTCAAAGTGTACTTCTTGTTCAATTGCTGAATAACTGCGATTTGATGTGCACTTTTAAAAACATTGACACGTGTGCCAAAATCCTTGAGGCTGACATGGGGTGACTCGTACACATCAAACAGTGTGTGCAGGACCCATGAGAGAGGTCAACATCCGTTGAAGAAATTTGCACTATAATAGGGTTTGGGGCACCTTGCGTGGATTCTACAACTAACCTTCTTCATGCAAACCCAGAAGTTCCTCAGCCTTCTCCAATACTTCAAAATGAGGCTAATGAGCATTTATGATAATATCTGTTCTTGTGAATTGCTGCAGTCATACCGTGTTTATTAAACCTGTCTGATATTTTTAGCAAGTTTTGAATCTTGATGAACTCTTACGACTTTCTGAAGGATTGCCACTGATAACAAATTGACAATTTTGGAAAGAGAAAAAAAATGGTAGATATGTTTATTTCGTTATTATAACATTTAAATACTATATAATGAGAGCTATTTATTTTAATGCAAGAAATTATTATGCTGTTTTGTTCATTTGACATTCTTATTTAATTTTTTCCTATATTTCTGTTTTAAAAAATGTCAGTTCAGCTATGTAGTATGTTATTTGCATCCTTTTCTGACCCAATTCCTTGTATTTAGGCAAAATGTTTAAACTTGATCTGAAGCTAAGCTTTCATTCTGTACAGTTGCTTTTAAATTTTGTTGTGTTTTACTATTACACTTACTATGCACTGATTCACACAAAGACATCTTCATGTTTCCATTAACTTGGTATAGGTTCACTTTGAAGAAGGATTATCAGCACGCCATAGCACCGGCGAAATCACAAAAATTTTGCCAAAGTTTACTCGTGGAAAAAGTGTCTCTAATAAACTCTCTGAAGAGGAGCTCATCAAGCTTTCTGCTCGTGTTGGCATTCAGGTATCAATGGTCATACATAAATTATTATGAAAAGGGGTAATTTTCTTTGTAAGTACATTAGTGATTTTTAATAGCATCAACGCTTATGTTACTCTTCCAACATTAACGGATGCTTCATAAAATAACTGGCGCCAAAAAAATAATGCGTCTAAATTTTGAGTGCAAACACAACTGTTATCAGATTCAAATCATGTGTATGAGAATTTCTTTCATGATTAATTAAGTGCCTTGAAAAATAAGTAATGACTTTCATTGTGCATAAGCACACTATCATTTTAATGGTGCATCACTATTAATTTAGAATCCGTATGATTTTGAGAGAATAGTCAATCTTGGGTAGTCATTAAAAAGTTTTCAATTTCTGGAATACCAACGATCTGTTCATTCAAATTTTAGCCTTTTGTGTCATTCTAAATAATGACATAGATATCTGTCAAATATCCTCAACAAATGTTCTGTAATAACCAGTAAGGTCTGGAATACTCCTAAATTTTGTAATTTTTATCGACCTTGGCCAATCTGTGATACCCTATCCATTGATCACATCCCGAGAAATGCGACTCCTTGGCCAAAATTCATATTTAGAGAGTTTTACATTAACATGTTTTCTTTTATAACTTGTAAAATAGCATGTAGATAATCTGAGTGATTGTTTAATTATTCATACACCATAATATTATCTATAAATTTAACCACAAATAAATCCAAACAGTTGAAATATTTTATTCATTAGATTCATAAAAACTATTGGTGCATTACTCAATCCAAAAACATCACCGCAAATTTGTAATGCCCATATTATGTTTTGACTGTTGTATTTGATGTCTTTTTCCTTAATCTTTAATTGATGATAGTCTGCTTGCATATCAATATTTAAAATATTTAAGCTCCTTCTAAATGATCAAAAAGATCATTAATTTTTGGCAATGAATTTTTATTCTTATTAGTGAGCTTTTTTAATACATTGTAGTCAATATACATCCTAAAATTCTCATTGCTTTTCTTTAAAAGTAATATTGAAACTCCACCCTGTTTCATACAATATATTTTTACTAATAACTAAACTAAAGCCTAATTAGAAAGAAGGAATTAGTGAATAAGGACCCACTGGAGTCTTACAACCCAAAATATTGGGAAAGCCTTGCTGCCAGGGTCTACTTGGACAGAGACTCGTCTTTTTTCGATCCCTCAATCATTGGAAGTCCATGATTTGTGGTATTTGCGGTTCAGCTGGAGCTCTCTCTGAATGCATCCCACCACCACAAATGCTTTTTTGTTGCTCAATTGCATAGCAGCATTGTGTTGACAACCATGATAGGACAGGGTCTTGCAACCTGAAATTGCTTCTTTTCCTACCTATAAAGCTTAGACACCAAATTAAATGTATGGTTATATCATAATTGTGATAAATAGGATATAGTATGTTATAGATATAATGCTTTCTGTAGAAAATAAAATAATGAAAAAATCGAAATTCTTTGTTATATGAGGGTCATAAATAAACATATTCAATGGTACAATGTCTTGAGTTGTGTGCTTTAAGTTCATTACTATGATTGGAGCAGAAATTTAACACCCCCTCAAATTAGATGGTATATATCTACCATTTCAAGTTTGTTTATGATATTTTGAAATGTTGGGTCCCAGTATCCTTTGGTGAATATGTTGGTCAATTGATTTTCATTATAATTGTCATCTATCTATATCAACTCTTTTATCAAGGTCTAATTTGTATCATGGTTTAGTTAGAGTTTCACATAGCTTGCACTTTGTCATATTAGTTTTTTTTATTAGATCTATAACATATTTCTTTTGGGAAAGAAATATAAAAGGCACACTAATTTTCGACAGCATCATGCTCCATCACCATATAATGATAATAAAATCAATTTCATCCAGAAAATTAACAACTTTGGCACTTTAGGCTCTAGGGATGGATCCATGAATTCTGAATGGATCCACAAATTCCTGAAATACCTAGAACTCCCCTTTGTTCTGATTTTCACCATTAATCGTAGTTGATTCTTTTGAAGGATGTTAAAGAGCCCCGATATAGTGAATAAAAAGAGAATTCGGCATGTGGAATAATGTTGAAGGTTGAAACCTTGACCTTAGAGAATAATAACAAAGATTGGAAATGGAAACCCTAAGCTTAGAGAATAAGAATAAAATTCAGAAAGGACATACTAATCTTGGTCTGATATCATGTAGAAAATAAAACAATGAAAAACTCTCAAGAGTTTTTACTTTTTGTTTTACAAGAGGAGAGATATATATAAATCTCTCATATGTATTACAAAATAAAAATAAAATAAAAAAGGATGGAAAAGTAATTAAGGTTCGGCGATCCTATAAGAAAGCATATAGATTACAATTTGAGGGTTGAAGAGACAAATCAATTAGAACGGCGCCTATGTCACCGTTTGACTCGTGTTCCACTAAGTCAATGAGGATGACGCAAAGCTTGGCCTAGTTGAACCAGCCAACCAGTTCAGTCAAGGTCTCGGTCCAATCCCCTGCAAGACTGATCAACTGTTTCAAGGGGTGGGAAGTACCGTACCCTTCCTCTTTCTTCAATTTCATTTTACCATTATATATGTTTGTATGTTTTAGTGTTCAATTTTGTGTTTCTTGATTTAAGAGCTCGTATCATCAAACTTCGTTGTCCGACCTGGCCCATTGAGCTTGGAATTACCAAGGCGGGAATTGACAGTTGGATAGAGGAAACCTATATAACAGTTTCATTTCATCATAAAAATAAACTCTATAACATAAAAGAGTCATTCTAATTCAAAAAAATTATATTTATAATAGATTGTTCATATTGAAATATTTACATTCAAACATAAAAAATAAACCTTAATACCTATCAATTTGCGCTCCATAGCACATGTACACCTACTCCTTGGGGTTTATCTAATCTACAACTGGTATTCCTATAAAAATGTTAGCAATTATTGTTTGAGTTAAAACTACTTTGTTGGTAAATATTTCTAAATTACAATAATTCTCATTTTAAAATATTTTTATAAAAGCGCGGTAATAGTAAAAGTTGTGCAGTAAATAAAACCAATTTCATATCATTTCATTTATTTATGTTACACTTTATACTTAGGAGTTACCGTCTAAACGTATACTTTATAAAAATATATGTTTAATATTTTCCAACCCACTAGGTAAGCAACCTTTTTCATTTTCTTTTCTATTTTATGCATGGGTACAATGCATTCCTCTGCTAATATCATTAGGGATGACTCTCATATGCATGTAAATATCATATTTTATTCATTTTATTTTGTATTTAAACTTTTAAAGAAAAGTTGTATTCAACATTTGAAAAAGACAGACTTTTGCAATTTAAAAGAAATAAAAGCCGGAAATAGTAAAAACATGCATAAATAAATAAAACTATTGTAAAATAAAATCGTATTTTGCCAACATCAACAGTGTCATTTGCTAACATTTTTCTCAGTTCAGTCTAGTCCTTAGTTGCACTTATAATAATAATTTAAATGTAATTAACTTTTCGTTTAGTGCTAATCTTTTCTTCTATTGCTTCTGAATTTTCTATCATTAGTTCCATAATTTTTATTTACTTAGCTATTTATTTGCCTATAAAAAAAAGATAAATATACATATATATATAATATATATGCATAAGTGCGCGCTAAACATATATACATATATGTGTAGAGTATCCAATTTAATTTTTATGTTAAAGCTTTTAAATATTTTTTTTTACAAACCTACTTAATATCAAGTTTTCTATAGCTAAATTTTAATTTTAGGTTTCTTAATTTTCTTCTTAACATTAATTAATAAGAAGAATGTTAATTAATTTTTGCAAATTTAATTTTATACTTGAATTTTTTCCTCTCTTTTTTTCTGCCTTAGCTCCCTCGCCAATCACATATAATTGAAAGAATCAACATTAGGATTTATAATTCATAATCTATTTAAATCAATTACAATTAATAACCTAAATTAATTTAATACTTTAACTTTTAAACCCTTTGCCTTCCCTAACTCATTCGAGTCAAGCAGAACCGAGCCTATTAAGGGTTCGGTCGAACACCCAACACCCCTCACACACGCAGAGCTCCCGCACTCAAGCTTTAGCAATCCCCTTCTCTTTCTCGCTCAGTTCTCGGTCTAGCCCTAAACAACTACTTAAGCCCCCCCCCCTCTTCCTCTTTCCTATGCGAGCCACACAAGTTAGATGGCCCGCCTCCTCCTTTCTCGATGAGTTGCACGAAAGGGAGAACCTAGTGCCTCCTTCCTCTTCCAGCTCTCGATCGACCTTCCAATAGGTCGCACAAGCTCTCCTTCCTCTTCTGCAGCTTGGTCAGGGCACGAATGCCTCTCCCTCCCTTCCCAAAGCTCGTGCAGGGCTGCTTTAGTCTTCTACATGCGAAAAAATATTGCACGTTCTCCCTTCTCCCATCTCTTTGGCTTAGTTATAGTTAACCTCCTCCTCAACCTTCTTCTCCCTCTACTGCTTCTCCTTTTTCCTCAAACACTTCATTCTCAATTTCTTCTTCCTCTACCTCCCTTTCTCGCTATCACTTTCCCCCATCTCTCTGTTGACCTCATTTTAAGTGAGCTTTAGTTTTCCTATTAGGATTTAGGGTTTAGTCTTAAGGTTCTCCCTTTGACTATCTTAGAGCCTTAGAAATGTGACCCGCCTCATTTTAGAAATTCAACCTGCTTCTTTACTCTTTTGGAGTTTCGCATGTGTGGTATCGGTCTCTAGCACTTGGAGGTTGAAACCAATATGAGGAAACCCAAAAGGAGTCCCTATAGGATCATTAAGCCCTGGGATGGCCTTGTGCATAACTTGCACCTTCGCGCGCACAAATTTCACAATTTAGAGAATCGACACTTTTATTTTCCACAATTCGCATCGTCTGCGTCGTTATTCGTTGAAAGCTTAAATAAATTTTTGAAATTATCGATCGCAGACTTGAAATTTTAATAAAATTGAATTTGACGTTTTTTTT